GTATCTACTATTCTAACCATTTTCTAAGTGTACAATTCAGTGGCACTAAGTACAACCACAAATTGTGCAACCATTCCCCACTGTTTCCAGCTAGACACAATGCCCTCAAGGTCCACCCATGTTGTAACATAGTATCAGAATTTCATTCCTTTTTAAGGCTAAACAGTATTCCACTGCAGGTATATATGACATCTTGTTTATTCATTCATCCATCAGAGGACACTTGAGTTGCTTCCACCTTTTGGCTGTTGTGAGTAATGCTGCTGTGAACATGGGTGTACAAGTATCTGAGTCCCACCTTTCCATTCTTTTGGGTACAGACCCTGTAGAAGTGGAATTTCGGGATCATATATATGATAATCCTATGTTTAACTTTTTGAGGAACTGCCAGACTATTTTCCACAGCATCTGTACCACATTACATTCTCAGTCCTCATTGTTTTTTAAACTACTGTTTTTCTTTTTAAAATAAAAATGCATTTAATTCCAAAATGACCATGAAGGTCTATCAATAAAGCACTGGTTAAATGAGGTTATTTCTTTTTCTCTATTACAAACAATACTGTAACAAAAATTTCTGTGCATCTTTGTACTCTTGTGGGAATATCTCTGTAGGATAATTATTAGATGTGGAACTGCTTGATGACTTTCACATTTTAATGCTGACCTCCAATAAAACCTACAGATTTATACTCCCACAAACTGTTTATGAGAGTGCCCATTTCATAAAATACTTGCCAGTATCAATTTTTTTCATCTTTGCCAATCTTCGAGGCAAAAATATTTCAATTGTTTAAATTTTTAAAAAAGATTTAATTGGCACTTATTATATTATAAATGATCTCAATGGAAGGTTTGAAGTTTGGCAGTTAAAGTAATTAATAACTGCAGGTTAAAAACACTATTATCTTAATTGTGGTTCTGTTATAGTCACTAGAAAAGAAAATTAATTCTACCGATACATGGGAAGTTACTTCATTTGACTTTCATGCGAAAACCCCTTCAAAATATAATAATCTTCTTAGCTAATAAACTCCATTCATTTAAAACACTTTATTCATCTGGGTCCCACCTTTAAACCATTACTGCTAATCTGTCTTCAACATTATTGAAGACTTATCAGATAGTCTAAAAAAATTAGCTCTGAATTTACACTGTTACAACCTTGCTAAAAACTCAGTGGACACAATGATATTGTGATATATGTTAACTATCTATTTTTTCAGGATCTGGAATTCTTTTTCCTGCATTAAATTAAACAATCAGAAATCAGGGTTGTTCTAGTACTCAGTGGTTTGCGTTTTGTTTTTTTTTTAAACATTTTACTGATTTACTTTTAGAGAGAGGGAAAGGAAGGGATAGATAGAAAGAGAGAGAAACATTGTGATGTGTAAGAAAAACACCGACCAGTTGCCTCTCACAGGCCCCCAACTGGAGACCTGGCCAGCAACCCAGGCACGTGCCCTGATTGGGAATCCAACCTCAACCTTTCAGTTCCAAGGCCAGTGCTCAATCCACTGAGCCACACCAGCCAGGGCTATTCTTTCAATATATGATATCTGGTGCACATAACTGAATGCTTACCTTTCAAAACTAAAATTCCATTCCTCTGATTTAGCCAGAATTATTAGCTCCTCCATTAACTAGCTCTAGTAAGTTTTTAGGGCTTTTTTAATATTGGCAAAGACAGAGATGACTTGCCAAAAGTTCAGAGCCAATAAAGTAAATAAAAACTTTTTGTTTTTTAAACAGTAATGGATTTCCACACATACTTTTGCCCAAAGAAGATTCTATTTGCTAGAACACTAAAACATATTTTTCCTTCCCCAGAAAATGATGTAATTAGAAATTTCTCAAAATACAGATATTTGAAATTACCTTCTGACCCTTTCAAATATAGATGTTTCCAGAGCAAAAGAGTTACATTAATTAATTCAATACACATAAATTCTGCCCTGGCTGGTGTGGTTTGGTAGATTGAGCACTGGCCTGCAAACCAAAGGGTCACTGGTTCAATTCCCAATCAGGGCACATGCCTGGGCTGGATGTGAGATGCAACCACACAGTGATGCGCTCTCCCTCTCTTTCTTTCTGTCTAAAAATAAATAAATAAAATCTTTAAAAAATACACAAATTCTTTCTTCTATTCTGCATTTGAGATGCCTATTTCAGAGGTATAATATATGAAAAAAACATAAAATACTCATTTATTTCACTTGTAGGAATCTTCAAAATTCATATTTACAGTGATGGGTAGAAAATATCCCAACATAACTATAAATCCTGAAGATAGTAAAAACTTTTTCTTTGTTACAATGTTAAATGTATTGGACATTTTATGGAGTAAATTCCTCTTTAACAATTAAAACCCTCTCTTTCAACATACATTTTTAAAAGGGCTGCTGAACAATTTTCCAAAGAGTAAAGATGAAAATCACTTGCTATGCAACTCCTTTTTTTACTAGGTCATCTTGGACACACACACACACACACATTTTGTATACTTTGCCAAGACTGGGTGAATTTATTCTGGTGTTACTCCGTCTTCTAATACTTCTCACGCTAACCTATTACATGTTTTCTGCTGCCATATGTAATATAAAGTACAGCTGTACCTTTCTCAAAAATCTAATAAAATTGTTCCTCAAACTATACAATTAGAATATTTAAAAAGTAAGTTCAAAATGTTTAGAAATATTTAGTTCTTAAAGAAAAATATTTGTAGGTCACCTTCCCCAAAATAATTTATTTTTAATTATGGGAGGGAGGTGGGAAGGGCTGGGTGGGTGGGCTGGGATGGGAGTAAAAGATAGAAAATTGTGCTTGAACAACAATTAAAATAAAATTAAGAAAAAAATTATTTTTAATTGTTGGTAAGAATCCAGTGACTCTGTGGGCTGGATATTTCTTCAAAAGGTCTATTGTACATATAAAAATTTTCCAAAAATGACTTTCCAAACACTAGGCTCATGAAATTTTGTTTTACACATTTCTTAAAAGTATCCAAATCTGGGTAATTTGGATGCTTATAAGCCTCATGATAGCAAAAATGCCTAAAAATCTTGCAATGATCTCTGATAAAATATATAATGGCTGAAGTTTTTTCCCAGTAACAAATAATAGGTTAGTTTTTTAGACATAAAAGAGGTCCTGTAATAAAATGGAAAATGAGCTTAAGCTTAACTTAAAATTAGCTAATTACAATGCACAATACAAATTAGTTTCTGCAAATCCTTACCATCTGTTAGTGTTCCTGAATCAAAATCATACTACAGAAACTTCTAACTATGTCTTCTAACTGAAGTAAGAAGGAAGCTAGTGGTATAGGGCAGACAGTTAAAAATCCAAGATGTGTTTTTGGGGATGATGAAGGTTAACACATGAAGAACAGACAGCTTTGTCCAAAAAGAATAAGTAAACACACCAGCACAATCTGTCCAGCCTCCATAGCACCTTTGCTATGACGTACCACAGTAATATCCCATTTTTTTTATTGGAGTATCTCCTAAAACAGTTTTTAAAATCTATGTACTCCTTTGCACAACTCTCTAGTTAACAACTAAAATTTTTTTAATGTAATAGTTTCAACAGATTTACTTCTGTCATACTGAAAATAGTGGTAATTTCTGAAAAATTACTTTTTAATGTATCCACTGGACTCTAAATACCATAATGATTTGATGCCCATTATCATCTACTTTAAAAAATGCATGAATAAAGTGTTTTTAATACTTAACAATTTTACACCATTCTTTTTTCCCCTTGGACTTTCATTTTCATTCTATTCTTACCCTAGAACAATGGTTCTCCATGGGGTTGGAGACACAGAGAGTCCTTGGGAATGGTGGTGAAGATTTTGCCTACAAGGGGACATTTGGAAATGTCTGGAGATATTTTTGATTGTCACAACCAGGGCACAGGGTGCTAGTGGCATCCAGTGAGTGTGAGAGATACTGCTAAACATCCTACAAAGCTTAGGACAGCCCCTGACAGCAAAGAATTATCTGATCCAAATTGTCAATGGTGCTGAGGCTGAGAAGCCCTGTCCTAGAGTGATTTATTTCTATGCCTAGTCTTTTTAAAAAATCATATTATATTTCTCTACAACAAAAATAACTATAGAAATTTATAAAATGTAAATTTCCTGTAATATTAACACATAAGTGTTAATGTCTTTGGAATGACTTATTACAATAATCAGTAATACAGTTAATCTAAATAACATGATTAAACAATCATTATCAAATATAAAAAGTGAAAATATATTAAAATGTTCCTATTGAGATGGATGGGGCTTATTTTTGTTGCTGTCAATTAGATATTATATTTGTGAATAAATATCACTTGTTGCTAGAATGAGACTGAATTCAGCTCAAAGATCATTCTATTTTCACTTTTATGGTAGCTAAGAAACCTTCTACACATAAATAAGTAAGTAGAAAAGGAGTTCTGTTGGAACAATGTCACTTGTTCTGTGAGCTCCTTCCACCTTATATACATAAATTAGTTTTCTCTTATTAAAAATTATTTCAGTGATCCAGGCTTGAGTAGATTCTCTTTAAACATTGTGAAAGTCAAATAATTTAAAGCCAACTGACTTGCAAAAGATTTGCTATATAATCTTTGAAGACATTTACCTTCTTAATACCTACAGCTGCTGGGTGACCCAGAGATTTTTTAAACCCCTGCTTTAGCCTTGTTCTACGAAGAGTCTTTGGGAACTCCTCGTCAATATGAGAATACAACTTCACTTAGCCGGTACAGTTTGGGGAGTCACAGGAGGGATTTTGAAAATTAGTAAGTTACCCTGGAAAATCTGTTAACTGCCCCATAACCATGTCTGTTTATTAGTCCATCATGAAAATTCAGGCATGGCTATAACCAAATACCTAAGCCTAAGCCTAGGTCTCTGAAACCATATTATGGATTTTATGGAAATTAGATTCTCAATAAAGAAAATGACCCAAATATGACTATAATGCTCTGTATTACTCCCTTACCTCTTAGATACTCTGTACTGTGCTGTGGTCAATTTTCCAGTCTCAGGGTCATGTACAGTAGCTCGGCTCAGCTACAAAAAAAGAGAAAGGACAAGGACTTACTCACGTAGCAGGCAATTTTGGACTTTTGTTTGTTTTATTTTGCCAAGCCACAGGTGATTGGAAGGGTTCGGATTGGTCTGGATGGTAGGTAATGGTTTCAAATCAGCAAAAACATTTAGAAAGGTGGCAATTAGAAAAGCCACTTCCAAATCAAGAGAAAACAAGTTGACAAATTTTTGTTGTAGATTTATTGTCCTTTCACTTTTTTTAAAAAAAAAATAATCATTTGAAGCTGTATGTAAATGACTTATAGCACTGGTTTCACAGGAACTTTCTCAGAGCTAGAAGTTTAATGTTCTTTAAATATTATGACAAAAGAAAAATTAGTTGTCTTTTTAAATTCATTTTTGAAAACTCTCACCAAGACAAGACTGTTGTTAAGTCTCTCTGGCAAAGTATAAGGCAACTAAATTTATAAGTAATAGCAGTTGGAAGAGAGATCAGAAAAATAACTCTGTACTTTCCATCGCCAACTTTTAAGTCAACAAATTTTTTTTAATATAAAAACTCCAACAGGAGGAATACAGATTACTCCAAAATGACAATGGTATTTTACAAGACCTTTGAACAAATGCCAACAAAATCACCACGAAGGATGATGAATTCACTGCAGCATTTATGAATGTGAGAGAGCTGCAAAAACAAAGACTACTCCCAGACTAACCCAGGCTGCTTCTTTTTTCTTTTTCCCTCCTTTGGTGAGAAGGGAAAAAGAAGAAAAACCTAACAAGCCATTTTCTGGATATTTAATTCCTGACCTGAAGAGAGATGCAAAGCCTGTTAACTCCCTAAAAGTAACAGACCAATTGAAGATTAAAAACACAACTTCTAGTTTAAGGAAAAGACCTGTGAAACACAAAGCTGTTTATCCATGCGTATATAAACAGGTGGTGACTTGAGCTGGAGCCTGAAAATGACCTACTTCCTTCAAATGAATAATTCCTGTAGGATGTACAAAACGATCATTAGAGATCACAATATGCAGCATACATATCTCTTACCTTTTGCTAATTCTGTAATGTACCGTCTCCAAGTCTCCTGTTATTGGATTTGAAATGGTGGCTCGCCTCAGCTGTGAAGCCAACCATCAAAATACTTGCATTACAAAACAAAAAAAAAAATGAATCACATTTACCCAACCAGTCAGAATTCTGGGATTTTTACAATGGAAGCTGAAAAGAGAAAATAACTCCACAGACTGGTTCCAGTCACCTTGTGTTAAGCTTTGAAAGCCAGTGGTTTCTTTAGGTTTTTGTATTTTTTAAAAAGTTTAAAAATTTTTTTGTTTTGCATGAATAAAGAGTACACAAAAAAGATTAAAAATTAAATTTCTTTCAATGGTTAGAGGATGTGACAATGAAGAAAAATTTCTAAAATGTGAAGTCTAATTTAGTTATAAGAATGGCTATTTGCAATTAAAGATTCATTCCAAACTTCTGATTTTAATTTTTTATGATGATACTGTTTTGCAAAGGTTAATGTTCAAAATTTGTTTCAAGGTCAATCTTGTCTTACTTCAAGATATATGCTCATATATATTTTACATATACAGTAAAATAATCTTGGACTGAGCACAATGTAAATAAAACTCAAAAATGTCAAAAACATTAAAAAAAAGATAACAGCAGAGATAATATTTTAAACTTTTTTTTAAATGGAGGATGATTCTGTGGTTAACAGAGTATGAAATTTTTACTGCTACTGAATCTCTTGATCAAAATAATAACATCCCTTTTGAAGACTTTGGCCTCCAAACCTTAACTCTTAATAAACAGTCTACCAAGACACTTTGGTTTACTGGGGTTACTGAACACATCTAATGGATCAAAATAGAAATCCAAAAGAGAATGACAGAATATGATGTAATTATAAGTAAAAATTTACAAGAATTCACTTGTAAAGAATCCATATTTACTAGACCACCTTTTCCATTTTTTAAAATGTAATCGTTGGTAAAAAACAAAAAGTAGCAATTTGGAAAAGTAGTAAAACTTAACAACAAAATTCTGACTGTAAGGTCATTCTGCAGTACAGATACCCAGAAAATTCAACCTTTATGATATAACGAGGATCAGCAAATGACAGCCCATGGGCCAAATTCAGCCTGCCACCTGCTTTTGGAAATAAAAGTTTTATTGGAATATAGCCACATTCATACATTTTCTATGGCTGCTTCTGCACCACAACAGTAGAGTTGAATAGTTTTTGACAGACTGTGTGGCTGCAAAGCCTAAAAGATATTTCCTCTCTGGACCTATAAAGAAGATATTTGCCAACTCCTGTGTTATAAAAGAGCAAAAGTATGCCTAGCATTTTACTTAATAATCTCTTTATGAAGGTGATGACAGTTTGTATTTTTTTTGTCAGGAAGACTAAATATGTTTTAATAACAAGCTAATGGTTATTAAACCATTATGGTTTAATGGTTATTAAGAGCATAAAGGGTCGTCTTTCTCACATTCTCAAAAAAGAGAATTTCTGCACTAAACACTAAGTTTATAAGATGGCATTTATGTTCAATTGTTTCATTCTTTTTATTTTTATTGTCACCCAAGGACACGGTTACTGATTTTAGAGAGAGGGAAAAGGAGATAAGAGATGGGGAGAGAAACATCAACATGAGAGAGAAACATTGATTGGGTGCCTCTCATACATGTCCAGACCAGGGAATGAACCAGTAACCTAGGTATGTGGCCTGACTGGGAATCGAACTCATGACCTTCTGGTTTATGGGACCTCCAGCCAACTGAGCCACACTGGCCAGGGCCAAATTGTTCTTGTTATTAAAATAAATAATCTATGGGTTGAAGTCAGAAAACTATGATGTTATTACTTAAAATTAGCAGGATGCTTGTGCCAAATTACTTTCTAGTTACAATATGCCTATAAGGGAATAAAAATACTTCAAGTATTCTTTCAGACAAAAATACAGAAGAATGAAAAAGTTGATTTTTGATTAGTCTCTGAAACTAAAGGACTCTGAAATACATAAAAAAATTTTTCAGGAAAATGCTGAAACAAATTTGTTAAATGTGAAATAAAAATCTCATCCATAATTTTCATGATTAAAAGCTTCAACCTATTTTCATGTATAATGTTATTAACAAATGTCACCCTAATAAATTTAATTTAAAAATCCTGTTTGCAAGATATGTTATTTGCATTGATAACAAACTGAGGAACAACTGGTATAAATACAGTTTAGTTAACAGCTCCATTATGTTGTGGCAACGATATCTCTATCTCTGGGGCTACTGCCACGTCAATGATCATGTGTAATCTTGCAAAGGAAAAACTGATACACAGGTATAGTAAATTAAGAAGAGAAAAAGAAAGTTATTTACCCTTGGTTTTGCTAGATCTTTGACAATTTCAATTTCTGCATCAGAAATAATATCATGGAAGCGAACAATACGAGGCTTGTCCCACTCATCCTCCTGTTTGGCTGGAGCCAGAATGAATTTCGGATTCCGGTTTCCATCATGGTAGCGGCAAAAGAGTTTTTTCTGTCTCCGAGGAGTCTAAACATAAAGTTAAAAATGATAAAGATGTTAGAGTAATAGTATTTTTAATGCCTAATCATGCTTGTGTATCCAGAGAGTTATCTGTGGAAGAAGACACAAAAGAAACAGTTCCTCTGCAAATATTTTGCATCAAACAGGACCTACAGGATTTAAAAAATTTTATCAATGATTAGTTGCTGGGAGAGAGATGGTCGGCCTTAAGTAAGGAAAAAAAGAGGATTTCTTTTTTAACCCTGCTCTCATCAAAATAAAAGTTCAGGTGTTATAAACACGAAAGAAATGTTCATGGAAATATTAAATGAATGATCAGCATTGCTCCAAACATCACAGAGTAACTGGGAAACACCCAGAAAGAGAAAGTTTCTAAAAAGTAAAATAAAACCTAACCAGGTTTTTCTAAATAACTCCCAGTTAGATGTTTGTGGCAAAAAAAAAAAAAAAAAAATAATAATAATAATAATAATAATAAATTAAAGCAAAGATGAAAATGCGTATCTCTGAACGATAGAAAATAACTTATTAAAGAAACCAGGTGCTTTTATTTACTGGGTATTTAAAATAGAGTGGTCCAGAAAGCAAGTATTTATTTTAATCACCTATGTATTATATTAACTACGTAAGTTATTGAATGGTTGATTTTCTCTTGATTAAACAAGTATGTCATATGAAGTAGAAATAATATCAGTTTTTGTTTTAATTATTTGTTAACATACTAAAACAAATGATTCATGTTTATTCTCATGTACTTTATTTACCTAGAGTAAAATCCGAAGCTTTTTACCAAATAAATCTTTCGTATAATGATGAGATGAATTTATTCTGAGAAAAATGATGCTTTGATTTTGGGCAGAGCTGATATCTTGTGTCACATCCACAAACTGGCAAATCAGCAGTCATGTTTTACACTTAGAGTCCTATTTTGCTCTATAAGAGTTATAAAAAATGTGTTCACTATTAGAAATTTGATCGCTTCATTAGATATTGGATGATATTATGAAGCCAGTGTGAATTTTTTTAGGTGTGATAATGGTTTTGTGATTATTTTTTAACAGTCCTTATCTTCAAAAGGTACTAAAATATTCAGATGTGAAGCTTTAAATACTGTTTCACGAGTCTAACAAAGTGTTACCGTCCTTGTCTTTACTCATTAGCTCCCAAAGAAAAAGTAGGCATGTTCTTCTAGGACTCCATGAACTTCAAACACTCAAAGCTGTCAACATAGACAGGAGCTACTTGTCTTCTGTCAGAGGTTATGCTGTCAACAGCAAGTCATCAAGTATCAAAAGTTATCAACACTAAAATGTTAAGTCCAGCTTGAAGTTCGTTAGTTGTAGAGAAAAAGGTACACACTATTCCAATGTTTACACTTAAAAATACTTTAAAAATCCACTATTTCACTTCCTTCTATGTATGCCCACATTCAAGTGAACACTAGTACCACGTGATATTCCTCAAAAGAGAGTTCCATTATCCGTTAACATTGAGAAGCAATGAATACTCTCTATCCATAACACACATTACCATAAAAAGGCTCTGAAAAGTACTGAGGCTACACAAAAACCTATGCCTGTTTTCCAGATTTGAATGCTTTTGTTTTTGGCCTATTATCTACTACCATTCTAAAGCACTGGTACTCCAAGTTATAAATACATAAATATAGATACACAATTAAACAAAGTGATACTTATAGACACATTTTAGTATTTTAAAGAATAAATGTTTTTAATCTTTAAGTCTCTTGAAAGTCTTTTGAAAGTCTTGCAAGTCTCTTGAAAGTCTTTCTGCATTTTTAATATTTCTGCACTAGACAAACATCTTACTAAGCAATCCTGTCAAGGCTGACTAGCAACAAAACCAGAAGAGATTATTGTATAGATGAATTCATTGCTTCATAGGATGGATTAGAATGGTGTACTGTTTCTACTTAAGATGGCTAAAATCTCTTTTGTATTAAGATATAAGAAAAAATTTATCACTTCCTTTAAATTATCTGATCCTTCACCTTTTAAACTATGAAAAGTGTAGTATTACCAAGAATACATGTAATGGTGTATGATTCACAAGCATTATTTTAAAACTATTTTACTAACAGTTGGAGCATATTAAGTGTGACACAAAAAAGGTGATGTGGCACACTATAAAACTTTATGCAGTAATTCTGATTTTGATCATATAGGAAAATATAAAAATACTCAATTCTCTCTAGAACTATGCACACACACATGCACACATTCACACACAATTGGCTTTTCCACTTTACCATTTTGATACCCTCCCCACGGCACAGCATTTCGTACTTCTGTCTCTCTGGCAGGTAATCCACAGCAGCCCCTTTTTTCTTCAGTGTGGTTTTCTGATCAGATCGGTCATCTGAAGCAGACTTATTGGCATCTTTTTCTTTAGCCATTATATACTCAAAATATTTCAAGTTACCATTAGCTCTCTGATGTTCAGGATCTAGTAGAAGAGAAAAGCATGTCCATGAGTAAGCTTACAGTTGTTCAAATATCAGAATACAATAATATAAACAGAAGACTAAACAATTTACCTTCTAAACCAGAAAGAGGCATTAGTAAAAATTATTATGCTAAAACAACAGGTGTAAACCAGTACTGCCCCAAGTAAAGCAGGACATACAGTCACCCCATATAAAAAGGATTCTGGAGACAGAACCAGTCATTTACTTCAAAGTAGCAATTACTGCTTCTACTTTAAGAACTTACTAATTAGCCAAAGGAACTATGTATGATCAATTTGATGTCAAATAAATTTTAAAATATTTCTCATTCTTATTTTAAGCAATGGAAAAGATTTTTCTGACACTGAAATGTAATTAACATGGGAAAGACACTGTGTAAGTTCAAAAGCAACCTTTACCACAGATAACTTATAAATGCAGAACACAGCCTACTTCTGAGGGCTGAGTGGATTTTAGCCCCCAAATTCTAAATGAGACAGAATAGAAAAACTCAAGATATAATTTTCAAATAAGCCAGAATCCACTAATTGTCTCTGAATTGCTAGTCATAATTTTTAGCTATCTTTTAGTAAGGGAAAAGAGAATTTACTCCACCCATTCAGAAGAAAACACACACATAAACACACAAAGAAAAAAGGCAGAACAGTATACAGAAACTTCACTTGTGACGTTAGTTGAAGTGTTTAGGAAATCTAGCCTTATTTGTAAAATATTTCTTGTCTCTGAGAAACTGCTCACAATATATGTTGTGATATACAATATGAGCCTAATTTTGTAAAAGGAAGGGAAAAGTGTGTGTGTGAAGGGAGTATACACAACAAGGAAACAAAAAACTTATAGGTATCTTTGGGTGATTGAAGAATGGATGACTCTTTTCTATCTTTTTCTATTTTTAAAACTTTTGTGCCATAAGTAAAGTCATTTAGGTCAAGAGGAAAAAAATCACTGAAAAATACTAAAAAAAGAATACTTGAATTAATAACTCCATTTGTTCATTCAACTAATAAATCACCTAATTATCAAAAGTTCACTTTCAGGTGACCCATCTTTTTGAGCTGTTCCACTCTCCTGACATACACATATTTATCTATTCATAAAATAATTAATTTTTTAAGTTTTAAGGCTTCATTACATACCAAAGGCCACCTGAATTAATTAGCATACAACTCCACCTCCAGAGATTCCGATTTAGTAGGCCTGGGTGGAAACCAAGGAATTTTCATTTCTAGTAAGTATCCAAGTAATTCTGATGCACATGGTCCCTGAATGATACTTAGAAAAATGCTACATCTCTATTTAATAAAATACTAGTGTTAAAGACCTCTTAAGACATCACACTTTTCTAATATTTGAATATGACAAATATATTTTCAATGTATTTATTTCAAATCACTCTTTTTGAGTATGAAACGCAATTAACAAAAACATCCTTTAAAGGAAACATGACAAAAAACATTTAACATGGTAACATGGTAAAGAAACATTTTCGACTGAGTTAGCTAGCTAAGGTTCAATTTTGATATTCCTAAAGAGCACACAACAGAGAAACGAAACACAGTCGCTGCCACAGTACCATTAGGTGAGAAAAAGCAGTTGCCATTTATTTAGAGGATAATCAGAAAGAGGATATATTTGATAAATGAGGCACTTGAATTCTAACAAATAAAAGGTACCAAAGCTATATGATGAGATATATATTCAAATATATCTGTATTACATATACCCTTGTATTAGACCAAGTTAACATACCTAGTTCAAGAAGCTTCTTTGTGAGCGAAAGTGCCTTATCGAGGTCTCCCTGCTGGTACACCGCGTAGCTCAAATAATCTAGAACAGAGACTTGATCAACAGAAGAAACCTCGCCTTCCTCCAACTGCTTTAATGCTTGTTCCATCCACAGTTCTGTGTGATAATAATCTGCTTCTGTGTAGGCCACTTTACCCAACTCGAAACAGTCCTCCACAGTTAGAAAAGATTTGTGCTTTACTCCTGTGGAAAGAAAACACGGGACTTTAGGATTCTTAATACTACTCTGCATTTATTCAGGACAGCAATTTTTGACCTCTGTAAGCTCATGGCACACATAAATGAATTACTAAAACTCTGCAGCGTACCAAAAAACATATTTTTTGCCAATCTGACAGAAAGTAGGTATAATTTTGATTCATTCACATTGGATGGCTATTGTTGTGTATCTAAGGGAAAAGAGGTCAGTGCCCCTGACTAAACAGTCAGGTACTGCATGATTTAAAAATTCTTGTAACACATCAGTTGAAAATTGCTGATTTGGGACTATACAGATTTCATTTGAACTTCACAACAATACTTGGAGGTAGGAAAAGCAGGAATTATGTTAAATCTATACATAGAAATTTATAAGATAATAAAACATGGCAAGAATCACACAGCCAACAGGGCACATGGGACCTAGCTATCAAGATGTCATTTATCTTTCACTGCCTGGCTTACTTCACTTAGAACTCTCACCTGTAAGTGGAACCTAATTAACAAAACAAACTGGCAAGCAAAATATAGCCAAAGACATTGAAATCAACAACAAGCTGATAGTAACCAGAGGGGAGAGGAGAGGGAAATAACATGGGAAAAAAGGGAAAGGGACATAAATGAACATGTATGAGGGACCCATGGACATAGCCAAGGGTGGGGGGTAGGATTGAGGGTGGGAGGTGGGTGTGGGTAGAGCAGGGGAAAATAGTGGTGGGAAAATGAAGACAACTGTATTTAAACATCAATTAAGAAAGTAAAAAAAAAAGTCAATTATCAGCCATCAAACCAAAATGAAACATCAATAAAGTTGAAGCATGCGATTTTTCTAACACAGCAAGAATCACCTTATCGGATACATTTATCTTTCTCCTAACCAATAATAATCTGGGTAAGAGGTGAATGGACAAAAGAGAAGCAAACCTGTCAACTGGCCCCTCCCCTGCTCCTCCTTTTCTTTCCCTTTCCAACAGCCTTAATGATATGTAATTTACACACCATAAAGTTCACCCATTTAAAAATACAACAGCTTTTGGTATATTCACAGAATTATGTGACCATTACCAGTCTAATTTTACAACATTTTCATCACCCAAAGGAGAAACCCTGTAACCATTAGCAGACACTACCTATTTTCTCCCCCTGCCTATCCCAGGCCTAGACAACCACGAATCTATTTTGTGTATCTATAGATTCGCCTATTCTAGTTATTTCATATAGGTGATATCATGTAACATATGGTCTTTGTGACTGCCCTTTTCACTTAGCATGTTTTCAAGGTTCATCCATACTTTCCAAGGTTTCTGCATACTTTTTATTGCCAAATAATAGTCCACTGTATGGACAGATTACATTCTGTTTATCAGTTGAGGGACACTGAGTTGTTTCCACTTTTTGGCCTTTATGAGTAATGGTACTATGAAGATTGGTATACAAGCTTTTGTGCAGACACATGTTTTCATTACTCTTGAGTAAATATGTAGCAGTAGAATTGTTAGTCAGATGGTAACTCTGTTTAACATTTTCAGGAACTGCCAAACACTTTTCCAAAGTGGCTACAGCCCATTTTACAATCCCAACAGCAGCTGTATGAGGGCTTCAATTTCTCCATAACTTGTTATTGTCCATCTTTTTTATTACAGACATTCTGGGAAGTATGAAGTGGTATTTCACTGTGGTTTTGATTTGTACTTTCCTAATGATGATGCTGAGCATCTTTTCACATGCTTACTGTCCATCTGTATATCATTTAAAAAAAAATCTATGTAAAGCCTTTGCCCATTTAAAAATTTGGTTGATTTGTATTACTGATTCATTATTAGAATTCTTTACATATGGTACATACAAGTTCCTTATCAGACATATGATTTTCAAATATTTTTACCTACTTTGTGGGTTGTCTTTTCACTTTCTTTTTAACTACCCTAGATGTTTTATTCCAGTGTCTTTTCACTTTCTTGATGGTGTACTTTGAAGCACAGATGTTTTAATTTTTATGAAATCTAACTAAATATTCATATTTTAAAAAACAATGATCCTGTCTACTATACAAAAAAAAAAAATCATCTCAGGTTTTGCAATATTCCCACACACAATCTAAACAAGTGCACACACTCCAAAATTACAAAGCATATGATAAAATAAGCAGAGCCATGAGCAAAATAAGCAGAAACTATTCACAAATAATATCAGACATCCCCCAAGATCTTCAGACATTGGTATTATCAGATTAAGAATACAAAATAACTATGAATAAAATGTTTAAGGAAAGGGGAAAAAACAAAATAAGAACATGTAAGATACTCAAAAAAACAAAACAGGAAAAACAGAACTTCTAAAAATGATAAATACAATCAATGAAATCAGAACTTACTGGTCAGGTTAAACAGCAAGATAGATATAATATAAAAAGAGAATAATAAACCTAGAAGAGAGAGCTGAATCAATTACCACAGGATTAATGACCCAAGCTGCAGCAGGGAGGAGAGATAAATACTGTACAAAGGGCTATTAAAAGCAAGGAAGAAAAAATAAGAAGGTCTAATTATGTCTTCTTGGAGTTCCAGAAGAATACAATAGAGAGAACATGGGAGAGGCACTATTTAAAGAAATAAGGGTGGACAATTTTCCAGAATTAAAACACATGGAACTTCAGATTCAGGAAGCACAATTGTTACAGGGTGCACCCAAGAGGGGGGACCCCAAATGGACATTTGAAATGGGGTCCAGAACTTAAGGTGTCCAGGAGATTTTAAGATGTCTCCATCCCCCAACCCAGGGTGTGGGTTGGGGGAAGGGACAAATGGAGCAAGGCCATTGAGATCTGTTTTGCATAGCAACAGCCTTGCAGCTACCCTCTGGCATGGTCATTTAACATATCTATAGCCTTTGGCTGGTCGCTTAGATATGTTAAATAGCTGTGATCATCTCTGAGCCAGGGGAATGGGAAGTAACTTCCCCACCAACACGTGACTGGGGGCAGATCCCCCAAGCTACAGCACCTGCGTGGGAGCTCAGAGAAGACTGGCTCCAGGACATGGGGCCACACCTGCCCAGACTCATGATGGCAGCCCAGTAAAGCTGGAAGGATATGAATTCTGGCATGTGAAGCTGAGTGTGGGAGGAGTCGGAAATGAGGCTGCAGAGGAAGATTGGCCGCGGGGATTTAAAACCCGGACTTGGCGGCCTTGAGGAGAGAGAACCATGCTGCTTTGAGAAGGAGAGCCATGTGCAGCCCTGAGGAGAACAGTGCTGCTTTAGGAAAGAGAACCACGCAGCTTTGGCAGAGTGGGGACTCTCCCCTTCCCGCAGCCCTGAGAGGGAGAACCACGAGGCCTGGACAGAGCAGGGACCCCCACAGCTGTAGAAGGGGAACCACCACCTGGTTTTAGCAGAGATCCCGGCGACTCAGCCAAGGGTGCCGGGAACCGAGGGAAGTCTCCCTGTCGAGATAGAGGACTAACTGTGAAGAACCAGAGGACTGCCTGAGCCATGGACTTCTATTTCCTTTCCTGAGATACGGTACTCTGGACTGGGCAAAGGGGGAAGGAAGGAAGGACTGTGTCTGTTTGTGGGTGTTTTAAGGGACTTTGGGATTTTTGATAAAGACAGTAGGTCACTACTTTAAGTCTGTACAGCATTAAATAAACATTTCCTTTCCTTTTCACGAATCTCTGGCATTGAGAGACGTCTCTCCTCTGGCGGCGGACATAACGGACCCGGGGCCTTCTTTCAATAATAGTGTATTGTCCCAGGCCCCCCTTGTTCTGTTCTGTAACACAATGAATCCCACGCCAAACAGAGTGCATGTGATGGCTTCTTAAGTATGTGTTTTTTTTAAGCAGGAGGAAAATAATTCTAAAAGAAAAGTCGAAGATACAAGAAAGAATGATAAACAAAGAAAGTGGTACACATATGAGTCACTCTAAATTAAAGAAAAGTGAACTATCAGGTTGGCAAAAATCCCAAAGTTTGACAACATTTTTGATGATGCTGTGGGGAAACAGGGACTCTTATAGATTGCTAGTGAAAATGCAAAATGATGCAACTACTATGGATAGAAACTGGGACAATATTAGCAAAATTATTTACATATTCACTCTTTGATTCAGTGGCATCACTAATAGGAAGAATATCCCAAAGATCACTTAGCAAAAATGCAAAACAGCATATGCACAAGGTTACTGGCAGCATTATTTTTTGAAAAGTGAAAGACTGCAAACGAACCAGATGTGCATCAATAGGGGCCTAGTTAAATAATCTGTGGTACCTCCATGAAACAGTGTAACATGCAGCTGTAAAAGGAAATGAGGAGAATTCCTATATACTGAGATGATATAGGGCATACCAATAAATCAAAACACCAAAGTACAAAAATTATTTTTACCATGCTACCTTCTGTGTTTATGTTGACATGAAATAGGAATATATATTTGCTTATATTTTCTAAAAGAAATGGAAATAGACAAACTAATAAAATAGTAGTTACATACAGGAAGAAGGAACAAAAACGAAAGCAAGACATCAGTGGATCTTATTATTCTAGTCTGAAACTTGAAAGAAAATAAAAAGTTTTGCAAATAATATGAGAGAAATGGGTGAAGGTGGTCAGAAGGTAAAAGATATATCCTTCAGCTATTAAATAAATAAGTCCTGGAGCAAAAGAGAGAACTCATGGACATGGACAACAATGTGATTACTGGAGGGGTGGGGGCAGGGTGTTGGGTGGAGATGGAAGAGGGTGTAAGGGGGATAAATGATAATGGAAAAAATACAATAAAATTTTAAAATAAAATAATTAAAAAATAAATAAGTTCTAGGGATGTAACGTACAGCATGGTGTCTATAATTGATAACAGTATACTGTACTGTATATTTGAAGGTTGCTAAGAGAGTAGATCTTAAAAGTTCTCATCACACGGATGAAAAATGTAACTATGAGTGATGATGTACATGACATCATTTCATAACACATACATGTGTCA